GCGCGGGGGGCGGGGCGGGGGGGGATAGAAAAACGGAGTGGGACATCTACGTCGATTGGGATAAGAAAACAAAGACAAAATTCTTGGTCGGGAGATGCAGGGCCAAGTTAGGAATTCGCCAAAAGAAACGCATTCTCTCTCTCTCTCTCTCTCTCACACACACACACACACACACAGACAGGCTCGCTCGCGGATACCAAAACGAAATGTGTCATTTACGTCGATCTCTCTCTCTCTCTCACACACACATACACAGAGAGGCTCGCACGCGGATACCAAAACGAAATGTGTCATTTACGTCGATCTCTGTCTCTCTCTCTCTCTCTCTCTCTCTCTCTCTCTCTCTCACACACACACACACACACGGGCTCGCACGCGGATAGCAAAACGAAATGCGTCATTTACGTCAATTGGGATAAAAAAGAAAGACGAAATGCACTCTTGGTCGGGAGAGGCAGAGCNGGCTCGCACGCGGATAGCAAAACGAAATGCGTCATTTACGTCAATTGGGATAAAAAAGAAAGACGAAATGCACTCTTGGTCGGGAGAGGCAGAGCGAAGTTACGAGGAAGGGCCATAGGAGGAAGGAAGGTGAGAGGAGGGAGGGTCGAGGAGAAAGTGCCAAGGAAGGAGAGAGGAAGGAGGGTGGGCCGAGGGAGGAGAAATGCCCGACGAAGGAAGGACGGAGAGAGGAGGGAAGGCCGAGGGAGGGAGGTCAGGCGGAGGTCGAGTGGAGAGACAGGGAGGAAGGAGGGAGGGTGGAGGGAAGAAGCACAAAGGTTAGAGAAATGGAGACTCACTTGAGTCAGTCATGCCAACGAAGCCTCCCGCCGACCACCATCAGCCAACAACGTGCAAACCTTCCAACCACGACTTATGCCTGTCGTCCGCGTTCCACAAAGTAGACGATGCCCCAAGCTCACGTTGCGGTAAGCCATGAAGTTCACGTTGCTCAGATTTACGTCGCCAGCACCAATGCACCTACGACGTAGCACGTCGCCCGTGAAAATCCTCCTTGTCGTAGTGCACACCCTCCTTTTCGTACCACCTATAGTCGCCATGCCTGCCAAGTCTCATGATGAAACCCACTCGCGTTGCTGATTTCTCCTTCCGCTTCCTCCTTTTCGTGCTCCTTTTTTCTCCATCTTAGGTCTTCCTCAATCCTCCTCTTCCGCTCCTCATCCTCCGATGTCGACGTGCCTGCCAAGTCGCATGACGAAACCCTCCCCACATGGCTTATTTCTCCTTCCTCTTCCTCCTTTTCGACCCGCTCCTCACTTTTGGTCAGTCCCTTTTACTTCAATGGTGACCGTGCTCATAGAATACTTGACACTTGGCATGCGGACCTCTTCTTCGTCCTCCTCACTTCTCGTCCGTCCTTTTCACCACCACCACCACCACCTTCCCAACGTGACCGTGCCACGGCAACCTCCCCTCCCCGATCTGTTCCTCCCCAGTCCTCACCCTCAACTCCCTCCTCAAGTTGGCTGATCACAGAATACCTGAAACACGGCGTGATGACCTCGTCTCCCGCGTCCACTCCTTCCCGATACTCTCTCCCTCCGCTTTGCAGTTAAACGACAGGGCTAGAGCAGATGGAGAGGCTCGCATGTCCTGGATCATCAGACTTCCTCCCCCCGCCGCAGTTCTTATTGCCACATCATTTTCATGAAAGCTATCACCAATCTTGCAACCAAGCGGGAATGTGAGCATGGGAGGCCGCAGCGGTTGAAGGTAGATGGAGGAAGTTCGACAACTGCTTCAAAAAGAGCGTTCGGAAGTACGGGTCGTGACTGCCTGATGCTTGCAGCTGGTGTTCGAACCCACACACAAATCGTGAGGTAGCAACTGCTGATGACTTGATCACTGAGGTCGACTGGATCCCCAAAACCGAACAGGGACCCATTCTAGCCAGTTGGATCTCCAAGATCTGTGCAAGGGTTCAAACCCCAGCTGCCACCATTAGGTCATTGCTATCTCACCTTGGAATTCACTGCTATCTCACCTTGGACTTCACTGAGATAGATGTATATATGAGGGTTCAGCCTCCTGATGAGTCGGTGAAACTCTGACGAAACAGTTTGTCACAGCCCCTCGTTCGTTGTCCTCTTCTCCCTCACTGCCTACGGTTTACCGGGCAGCTCTGTTTGCCTATATATATGCTGCCCGGTTTGACTATATATTATCACACTGTGTATATGTATCAAACAGAGCTGCCCGGTAGACCGTGGGCAGAGAGGGAGAGGACAACAAACGAGGGGCTGTGACAAACTGTTTCGTCGGAGTTTCACCGACTGACTCATCAGGAGCCTGAACCCTCAACAGTCTGCAGAATCCCCTAACTGATTACACTGTACGTGATAATCCACCATAACCCCGGCTGTGGTTGACCATCAACGATAACTGATTACGCTGTACGTGACAATCCACCATAACCCCGGCTGTGGTTAAGCATCACCGACTGCCCGACAACTGATACCCTGAGGTGGGCACCAACCACTGCCCTCAAGGTACCTGTGACGAAAATCAAAGCAGACTATCACTCACCCATACCAGATGGAAAACTCTACAGACTGTCGGTCCACACACCATCACAAGCAAGCAAAACACCCACAAAACAAAGAAAGGTCTGTCACAGCCAAAAAATACACTCCAGACACGCCGCTGGCACTAGAGGCACAGCATGGTTGCGTGTAGTGACGGCCCCGACCACTGCCGCTCGATATATGTACACATATATATATCGTCAAACAGAGCTGCCCGGTAAACTGTTGGCAGAGAGGGAGAGGAAGTATATAAATCGTCACACCGGATATATCGTCACAAAGATATCAGAGCGCAAATACGAAAAAAAAAACAGAAGAAAACAAGAAAGATATCAATTCATTTTTTATCTTTTTACTTACTAACCCCCCTGTTCAAAACCTCTTGGGGACAAGGCCGCCCACGTGGATGTGGTTGAGAGGCGGCTGCCCCCCCCCCCGTGTCATATCGACCCACTTGCACACAGCCGTGTGTCATATCGACCCACTTGCACACAGCCAAAAGGCAAAGAGGCAAAGAAAGAGGAAGAAACAGCCAAATATAACAAAACAGGGGGAAACAAACATAACAAATCCTAGATGACAACTCCCACATGCAAACACCGCCCCCTACACAGGCCAAACGACGGGACAATGACTAACCAGGATATCAATCAACACCCTTGCCTGCAAAAAAAAGCAATCGCAGATAACAAACCATTCGTGCTCGCCAGCATGGACACCCTATCATGGTTTCGACGCATGCTTCGCTGGTCTAAACTCAAAAACTGAGACACCACCAACGGCAAAAAATATAGAAGACAATCCGAGATGACGGTTCCCACCTAAAAGCACCGCCCAGCTACTTCAATAGGCCGAACAACGGGAACCAGCCAACTAGCATGCCAAAAGGATAACAAAAGAAGCCGGATGACAAGTCCCTCATTAAAAGACCGGCACGCGGACCAGACAATCCACATGAAAACACCACCACGTGGACCGAACACCGAGACAAAACCAACCGGGATGCAGACAAAGGTCCCAAAAATACCAACAATTCTGCCACAACCAGTAAAAAGCCGGAACCATACCGTAGGTCCGCAAAACGAAATCCCCCAACAATGGGGAAGAGCAAAGCAAAAGCAAAAGAAGGGAGGAAAGAATAATGATAGAAAGGAGAATTAGGAAAGAGTATATTCTACCATACATAACCAAAGAAAGAGCCTGCTAGTACAGGCCCGACGCTCGCCGCATCATCTACAAAAGCAGAGAGCTAGCAACGTCGGAGTATTTATCGTCACAAAGATATCAGATCGCAAAAGCAAAAACACAAGAAGGAAACAAGAAAAATATCAATTCATTGTTTATCTTCTTACATACAACTCCCCCTGTTCAAAACCTCTTATCAATGCACGAAGGACAGTCTATGGCCTCTGTTTATCACTATTACTTACAACTCCCCCTGTTCAAAACCTCTCGCGTACAAGGCCGCCCACGTGGATGTGATTGAGCGGCGGCTGCCCCCAAACCCGTGTGTCATATAGACCCACTTGCACACAGCTAAGAGGCAAAGAGGCAAAGAAAGAGGAAGGGAACAGCCAAATATAACCAAACAGGGATAAACAAACATAACAGACCCTGGATGACAAGTCCCACATGCAAGCACCGCCCCCTACATCACAGGCCAAACGACGGGACAATGATGAACCAGGATATCAATCAACACCCTTGCCTGCAAAAAAAAGCAATCCCAGATAACAAACCATTCGTGCTCGCCAGCATGGACACCCTATCATGGTTTCGACGCATGCTTCGCTGGTCTAAACTGAAATACTGGGACACCACCAACGACAAAGAATATAAAAGACGTCACAGAGATATCTATATATATAGAGTCGGTGAAACTCCGACGAAACAGTTTGTCACACCCCCTCGTTTGTTGTCCTCTTCTCCCTCTCTGCCTACGGTTCCCCGGGCAGCTCTGCTTGTGCATATATATCGTCACACCGTGTATCGGAGCGCAAAGGCGAAAAAACACAAAACAAAAAAGGAAAGAAGGAAGGAAGGAAAGCTCCGCCTGTTCATTACCTCTTACGTACAAGGCCGGCCACGTGGATGAATATATCTCTTGTCAAACAGAATATCGTTCGGCGAGGTCCCAATTTATGAGACGTGATCGAGCATCTGCTGCCCAACTCACACTCCCTTTCGTGATAAACAACGAGAGAGAGAGAGAAAGAGGAAGACGGAGGGAGAGAGCAGTGGAAGGGCAGACAGCAGGAGAGAAAGGGGAAGAGGGAGAGGGAGGGAAGTGTGCGAGAAATGGGACAGGGGGACAGGAGGAGGAAAGAGAAGGAAGAGAAGGAAAGAAAGGTAGAGTAGCGACGCACCTAGACGAGGCTCGCAGACGTAGTCCCGCGTCACTGCATCCAGATGGGTCTTCGACATCTTCTCGGAAACACCGTACATGTCCACAGCTGCAGCCATGGCGACCGGGAGGGAGAGTCAACGAGCGGCCAACACGTGCGACACAACGGGAGTGTCCAATACACGCCTCGTCAAAATCAGGAATGGAGGTCACACCCACCGCACCGACACCTCGACCAACTACCCTAGACCTATCTTAATACAGAGAGAGACTGTCTCACTCAAAACCGAAGGAGCGTGCCCCTCGATCACGAAGCCCTCCGGACCAAAATAATTCAATGTGCCCCGCCTAATCACACGACCTGGCCTACATTCAAATTCGCACATATTCCACGTTTCGTAGGGTGCGAAACTATAGGACCAAGAGGACCAAAATAATTCAATGTGCCCCGCCTAATCAATGCGTACAGCGCACAGCGCGGGAGCTCACCCATCGAGAGCCAGGACCGGGGCCGACAGGTCAGGCGCCCAGAATTACGAAGGGCCTGACGAGCAGGACCCTTTTTTTCTCCGGGCCTCGCCCCACATGCCATAGTTTACTATCACTGTGTGACAGTGAGAGGCGGGAAACGAGAGCGTGGAATCTATGGGGCTTGTTCCACACCACTTCACTTGAAACTTGAGTGCGCACTCTTGAGTTTAGCTAATCACTGGTGGGACGTCATTAGGTTTTTGGGATTAGCAAACGGGCCAGAAACTCTCAAGGGCGGCTCAAGGGCGGCCCAGGCAAGCGAGGTGATTTCTCTAGTGACCTCTCGGGCCACACTTGAGCTGCCCTTGAGAAGTGTGCAAGCGAGCGGCGTGAGGCAGTTTCAGGTACATGTAGAACCCCCCGATGTTCTTTTCCCCCCCGTTTATTCTCCTTTTTCTAACGCCATTGTCCTGGTTGAACCTCTCCAAAGTTGTTCCCTCTCATTTCAAGGGCGGACTCGAGGGTTGAGGGCCTCGTTCCACAACCCTCGACTTGAAAAAATCTCAAGGGCGGCGTCGTTCCACTATGCCCTTGAGATGTGCTAATCACTATTGGAAAGTGATTAAGCTTCCCCCCTCAACAAAATTCCGCTTTGAAACTCGAGGGCGGCCGTAGGGTGCCCAGGCAACTTCGGCCAATTTTCAAGTCACCTCCCAGAGGTGACTTCAGTTTTCTTGGAAATGGCGCCAACATGCACCGCCAGGCAGCAGTTCAGCCCCCCCGTCCGGTCCTTTTTTTTTTTTTTTTTGGCCAATCGCGGTTGTCCTAGCCCAGCGATGAACCTAGGTTGTGAAAATTCCCTGACGAACAGGGGCGCACATTTTCCCGCTCCTTTTGGGAGCGGGAACTGCAGGGTGTAGTGAAACGCCGACGACCTCTAGTATTTTTTTATTACGTTTTGGCTCAAGGGCGCCCGTAGGGCTGCCCTTGAGATTTTTTTCAAGTCGAGGGTAGTGGAACGAGGCCCTGAGTGTTGGCATTCACCTACCTCTCCATAGTTGTTCCCGCTCATTTCAAGGTCTGACCTCTTCCCAGTGCTTAACCCAGATGATCCGGACTCCTGGCTTTCGAACGTGCACATAGATAGACAGACTGTCACGAAGAGGCGCCTGGACTTCTATCTCCTCAGCGAACAAGTGATGGAAAGGGTTATTATGTCAAAACAAGTTTGTCACTCGTTGTCAGACCACAAACGGGTGGTGTTAGACATACGGCTTCGGTTGGACGTCGAGAGGGGGAGATGATTCTGTCAGTTGAACAGTCGAGTATTTGAGGAACCGGGTACTATGGAATGGGTGGACGGGCACATGGAAAGATGGAAAGAAGTCAGACGATACTTTGAGTCGATCGCGCAGTGGCTTCATGGAGGCCTAGCTATCACGTTCAGGATTCTTGATGTTTGTTCACGATTCCTAGCGAGGGAAATGAACAAGAAGGAGGTTGAATGTCTCAGAAGGATAGAATAGGCGGAGGATAAAATGGAGGGACACCCAATACCTACGAGGGTATGGGCAGCAAAACGGGAAAGAAGAATGGCAGAATGGGACAAGATGCAGGAGGATAAACAATGGAAATGGTTGGAAATCCTAAAGGAAAAGGGAGTAGAAATGAACGACATGATGAGTAAGGATTTTTTTCAAAAACTCCAACCAAGAAGGGTACTACAACAGATGATCGTACTAAGACACCCGTTTGACGAGCCAACCCCAACAGCCTGCTCGACGGTTGGAATGTTACAGTACGCGAATCTGTACTATACGGACATCCACACGACCAAAAGCCCGAACGAAGATGTGAACACAAATTTGTCCCAACAGTCAGATATATGGGAGAACACCACGGTACAACTAAACACAACAACGAAACTAGACCTGGACAGACCACTCACCCTTGAGGAACTTACCCAAACGCCGAATTCCATGGCAAGAAGGAAGTCCCCAGGGGTAGACGATCTTACCGTATAATTTTACTCCGCGAATTGGAAGGTATTTGAGCCCCTACTAGTAGAGTTGTATAACGAAGTGTTAGTAGGTGGCAGACTTGTGAAACATACGACACATGGCGATCACAGTACAGTTAAAAAAAAAATGATAAGTCAGATGTCAGAAACTGGCGACCGATTTCCCTTTTGAACAAGTCGTAAAAAATCATAGCAAAGTCTCTAGCATGGAGATTGTCCAGACACCTTCCATAATTGGTAGAAAGAGACAAGGAGACGTCCGTGCAAGGGTGGTCAATATTTAATAATATTGTGACTGCAATTGAGACACTGAAGATTGTTCATTCTGAGGGTCTCGAAGCGACTGTTTTGCAGTTAAACCTGGAGAAAGTTTATGACAAAGTGGGTTGTACATGTGTCCTTACCACGTTGAAGAAGATGAGGTTCGACATAGACTTTGATCATGGATTAAGGCATTGTACATGTGCTCCTCCTCCGCGGTGATGATTAACGGTCACCTATCTAGCCCGTTCCAGCTCTCCTGCTCGCTGAGAGAAGGCCGCTTGCTGACTCCTTTTGTCTTCGTACTATAAACGAAGGTATTTTTAAAGGATTTGTTGATGGAAAAGTCATCCGGACCAAGACTGGAACCATCTTGGCAGAATGCATCAAGGAGTTTTCCTTCGTGGTGGAATTTACAATGGACAGGGGATCTGAATTTACGTGTGGGGAAGTGAAGGAGCTGCTGAACGATCTTGGAGTTATTGCCAAGTGTAGCGGACCCACCAAGTGTGGTGCTCCGCCAGTGATAGAGATGGAGATGGAGGAAGAAGGGGGGAGCGAGATGCACAACGCAGCTCCCACACAAGACTCCAATGCATGTACTCCAAAATCGTGCAGGTGTAGAATGATCTCGAAAACAGACAACTGTTGGGGTATACCCTAGCGGACTGACGAGACTGGACTGGACTGGCTAGTACCGATAGAGGTACCGACCTGGAATGAACTGCCCCAAATAAAACACAGGCCTGAGAGAACAGGCCAAGGGGCTGGTCTCACAGGCCCACCAGAGGTCCGCTACACGATCCTCGGCCTGTGATGGATCGCCTAGATACAAGCACGCTTCCGCCAAGAAGCGGAACTCTACCAAAGAAAAAAAAACGTGAGTAGTCTAGGATGCGGAGCAAGGTCCATGCTGAGTCCATGTGATGCAACCTAGGCTAGAAAATATCACAAAACAACAATGTCACAACTAACAGCCTAAGTAAAAACAGAAGCAACTAACTAGCATACATGTCATAGGAAAGCAGAAACAACTAACTACCATACATATCCTAGAAAAGCAGAAAGAAGTGACAACTAGATCCTAAAGTGTTGGAGGCAGTAGCCTCAAACTGGGAACAACTGACTAATGCATAAGTCTTAAAAACAGCAAAAGCAGAACAACTAAATCCTAGAAATGTCAGAGGCAGTAGCCTTAGTCTGAGAGCAACAAGCAACAACAAGTCAACCATATGTCACAGGAGGAGTGTGTCGCAAACCAAAGGGTGGGATGATCTCTGAGGGTGGCGAATGCAGCCTAGGGGTCGAAAATTCCTAAGGGCATCCACACATAGATAACAGGGAGACATATGTCATCAGGCTCAATGCGGGTAGGGAACTGGGAGCGAACAGAACCAATGACCCTAACAGATAGACCATCAGGGCGGGTAAAGCTTGACTAAGGGGTGACCGCTATGGAGGGTCGACCATGCAAGGGAACAAGGGAGTCTGGTATACTGGGCGCACCTAGATGAAGCATGCGGGGCTGCCTAACTAGGGCGTGAGGGCCGGCAGAGGGTAGAAAGGTGATGGGTAAGGAAATCATGCAAATGACTCCTAAAGTGAGGGAAGTCGGAGCTAGATCCGTAAGATGGGAAGCCAGGGCAACGCTACGGTCCCGATGCCTATGCGTATACCAAGGGAGAGCCCAACTCAGAGGAACCCGGCTAAAGGGAGACCATCCCGATGCCTATGCGTATACCAAGGGAGAGCCCAACTCAGAGGAACCCGGCTAAAGGGAGACCATCATGCGACACAATAAGGGTACTGTATAGGGTAAAGTGGTAAGCGAGTGGCGACGTCTGAAGTAGGCAGAGTTGATCGTGATAAAGTCCATAAAGCTGTCGATGACGTCCACGATAAGAAGTCCGAAATGTCGTCGAGAAAGAGTCGCAACGTCGACGAGCTGAAGTAGCAAAATTGAAGTGGATGGAGTACTGAAAAGTCAAGGACGTGGGAAGGTAAGTCAGAGTCAATCGTCGTATCGAGCAAGACGACGACGAATGCGCTATGGACGCTCAGAAGCATCCGGCTGCTGCTGAAGGTCAGATGGAGCAGGCTTGACTTCAGCGGTCTCCTCAGTCGGTGGAGAAGGAGGAGGGTCAGTGGGCTGAGGAGGAGCAGTGAACCCAGCACGACGAGCACGATCATAAGCATGCACCAACATGCGAGCGTGCTGCAAGTGCTCGAGGGGCTCCCAGGTAGCCTCCTCATCAGGGTAACCCTTCCAACGTACGAGATACTCGACGTGGGGAGGGTTGTCGTCGGTGACTCGGCGGCCAATGATGTTTGAAACGAGGAACTCCTCGTGGCCATCCACCATTATGGGTGGAGGGCGCTCGTATGGTCGTCCAGCGAAATGCTCAGACGGTCTGCGATAAGAATGCAGTAACGAGACATGGTAGATATCGTGCACTCGAGCCTGGCGTAAATAGTCGGGCAGCTTCACTCGGAAGCTGACCAGGCTAGAAGCCGTATCAGAACCGACGGCCTGGAGGATGCGGCATCGGCCAAAGAAGCGACGCCGAAACTTGCGAAGCGTGTCCGCTTCGAGCTGTAAGTGGCGGGCGTTGATAAACACATCATCACCGACTTTGAATGGATGATTCATCCTCGATCGGTTCTCACGTGCTGCCATGCGAGTCTGGGAAGCGGCTATGTGCTCATGTGCGGTCTTCATGATCGACGTCATGTATGCAACCCAATCATCCAGCGCAGGACAAATCGTGTCGCGGTGCATCTGTGATGGTCGGAGGAAGTCCACGGGAACACGAGGGTGATAGCCGAGGTCGCAATAGTAAGGCGACATCCCTGTGACTGGCGAGACAACGTGGTTGTAGGCTATCTCCTCGTGGGCAAGATGGAGATCCCACTGCTGGTTGTCACAAACAATCTTTCGGAGAATATCTCTGAGAGTCCTGTTCGTGATCTCGGTCTGACCATCAGTTTGAGGATGGTAAGACGAGGAGAAGCGAAGCTGGGTGCCATAAACCTCGTGGAGTCGTCGTCAGAATCGGCTGGTAAAACGCGGGTCACGGTCATATATGATGCTCAAAGGTAAGTCGTGGTCACGCACAACTCGGTCAAACACGATGTCGGCGACCTCACGTGCACTGATGGCATAGCGACACGGAACAAAGCGTGCACGCTTCGTGAAGTGGTCGACGACGACCAGGATAGCATCATATGACCGTAAGGGGTCGGAGGACGAAGGGGACTGATAAAGTCCATCGAGATGGACTTCCAACGACCCTCAGGGATAGGAAGAGGCTGGAGCAAACCATAAGGAAGGTGGTTCACACTGTTCACCTCCTTACAGGTGGGACACTTTGCGACGTAGTCCTTCACAAAGTCCGGCCAGACGTACAGGCGGCTCACACGAGCCAACGTCTTGTGGAAGCCCGTATGACCAGCGACTGCCTGGTCATGGAACTCTACTACTGCTCGGACGCGTAGTTGTCCAGTGGAGGGAACGCAAATACGGATCTCTATGGTGCCCTGTGAACCGTGCCAGTATACAAGACCGTTGTCCCTGAGAGAGTAGTTCGGGACGGTCTTGCCACTCCGAAGGGTCGCGTGGATGTCGCGATAGTCGGGGCAGTGGCGGTACTGAGTGCGAAACTCRTCGATCACCGAGKGGTGRACRGTGGTGACCGAGATGGAAGAGAGCTGGATCTGCTCCTGGTCGTGGTCAGGGCGCCGGGATAAGGCATCTGCGACCCAGTTAGTATCACCCTTGATGTGCTCAGTTGTGAAACTAAACTCGGATAGGTTGCGCCACCAGTGAGCCTGTCGAGAAGTGAGCTTCGACTTTGTCAGAAAAGCCTGGACAACAGAGTTGTTCGTACGCACCGTGAACGGTGCCCCGTGCAGGTAGTGACGCCAGTGTCGAGCGGCATAAACTACTGCGAGAACCTCACGTTCATCGGCCGTGTAGTTGATCTCGGCGGGCAGGAGCTGACGGGAGTAGAAGGCTATTGGACAATCACCTGAGCAAGACTCGACAGTGTCGTCCTCGACGATGGTAGGAGAATAGTCAATAAAAGACTCGTCAATAGCTGGATGAGTAGGCGTCAGTCGGGAAGCAGTGGTAGGGGTAGGTGGTGGGAAGCGAGGGATACGAGGATGAGAGGAATCAGGAGATGAGGGGAAGACCTGAGAAAGCAGTGCTCCTACAACAAAGTCTGACACATCGGTGGTAAGGATAAAAGGGCGATCAAAATCGGGTAGGTGAAGAACCGGTGCGCATGTCACCGCCTTTTTGAGGGCGTGGAAGGCGTCCTCGTGGAGGGGTGTCCAAGCCCAGGGTGGTTTCTTTCGGAGGAGGGTGGAGGTAAGGACGTAGGAATACCTAGCGTATCCCTGGATGAAATTACTATAGTAGTTGGTCAGGCCTAGGAAGCTGCGAAGCTGCTTGGCGGATGTGGGAGCGGGCCACTCCGCAATAGCAGTGACCTTTGCGTCGTCCATGTGGAGACCCTGGTCAGACACGTAGTGTCCTAAGAAATCCACTTTGTGCTGAGCAAAACGACACTTGCTCAACTTGGCGTAGAAGCCATGTCCGCGCAAGCGGTCAATGACGTCGCGGAGGTATCTGAGGTGCTCCTCAAGGGTACGACTGTAGACCAGGATATCGTCGAGGTAGACGAGAACGTACTGCTCCAGGATGTCCCTGAAGATGTCGTTCATCGCCCTTTGAAAGGGGCGGGTGCGTTGGTGAGGCCGAATGGTATCACCGTGATTTCGTAGTGGCCGAATCGCGATCGGAACGAGGTCTTCGGCTGGTCGGCTGCAGCGACGCGGATCTGATGGTAACCGCTACGAAGATAAATCTTCGTAAAGAAGCGGTTGCCTGCTAGGCGGTCGAACAACTCATCGGAACGAGGCATGGGGTAGCTGTTCTTAACCGTGTAGCGGTTGAGACCGCGATAGTCGATGTAGAGATGGAGAGTTCCATCCGCTTTGCGAGCAAAGAGGATGGGTGCACCCCACGGGGAGTTGCTGGGTTTAATGAAACCCAGTCTCAGGAGCTCCTCAAGCTGACGCTTGAGTTCGGTGGCCTCGGGGATCGAGAGTCTGTAGGGTGCCTGGTGGTGAACACGATAGTCAGACACATGCTGAGTGGAGTGCTCGGCGTCGCGCATCAGTGGGATGCTGGTGTACAAGAACGACGATGGGAAAACGTTGTGGTACTCTTGAATGAGGTCACGAACTGTGGGCTCCAGGTCAGCCGTATATCGTGCGAGTTCCTCAGCGTCAGTGTCAGCACGCGACGGCGGGGTGGACTCAACGGACGGCGGAGGGTGGGAAGTAGAGATGGGAGCCATGGAGATAGAAGGAGGATCTGACTCCAAAGGGATGAGCTCGGCATCGGGACAGGGTGGATCATAATGTAAGAGATCCGTCACGTTCACCATAAAGAAGGTGACGTAATCCTGTCTGATGAAGTGGGCGAACTGCCGAGGCGAGGTGACAGTGATAGAAGGAGATGGTGTGGGCACGAAAGGCTCCGGGGGAGGAGGATCGGGGCGTGGTGTCGCAGTGGTATCTATGAAAGGCACGCGATACGTTTGTCCACACTTCATTTTGAGAACGAGAGTGTTGGTCGCCCAATCGGCCTCGGTGCTGCGGAACCGACGAGACCACGGAGTGCCGAGAATGAAGTCGTACCCCATCTCCATCACATCGAAATGTGCAGAGGACTGATGGCGACGAGACGCCGGGGGACGATCAGTCGGCTCGAGAGTGAGAAAGAAGGGGAGGTCGGTGACCGTTTGATCGAAGAAGCGCTCGATCTTGTCATCCCCCAGGGTGACAGAGATGGGAGTCGGAGACCCTGTCGTGGGTAAGCGGGCTTCTTTTACCACACGTGGGTGAATGAAGTCGCCCTGAGAACCGGAATCCCACAACGCTGAGTACACCCTCGTGGAGGTCCCTAGTCGTACTGGAATGATCGGGAGGGTGCGATCAGGGTCAAAGAGGATGTCGAGAAGGCGACGCTGTGCAGCGATATGGAGGGTGAGTCGCTCCTCACGAGCCTGGAGCATGCTCAAGTCCAGAAGAGAGGGCACAACGTCCTCGCGAGTAGCGAGCTGCTAGCTGCAACGGACTGAGCGAATGGCTCGACGCGTCGGTAGTCGCGGCGGGGAAGAAGGGGAGACGGTRGTCTGCGGAGGCGCAGATGGTACTGCGACAGAGGGCTGAGTACACTCTGTCGAGTCCTGCGATACCTCAGCTTCAGTAGCGAGAGGGGCGAACCGCGACGGAGATGTCGGGAAGCCCACTACTGAGGAGGGCGCAGGTGTACACTGCACTGTGGCTAGGAAGCATCGCGGGGATGAGAGGCGCCGAGGGGGGACTAAGCACGACACTGGCGGGAAAGGTCAGCGTAATGGCGGTCAAGGGCAGTGGTGTAAGGGCACCGCGAGGAGGTATGACCGTCCTGACGGCATCGCCGCCGACCCAAAATAGTTGCGCGCTCCTCAGCGGAAAGGACACCGCGAGGAGGGATAAAACCCTGGGGGAGGTCCTGCTGAGGGACCTCGGGGGGCGACGCGCCAGCGTGACCAGGGCGGCTGCGTGCCCGGGAAAGGGTGGAGAGGATGAGATGGAGGCGCTCAGCCATAGGGAGAGTAAGGTCCTCCAGGTGGTGGTGGACAGCCTCGCCGAGGTCGAGGTCGTCGCTATGGTCACCCTCTGGCGACAGTGGGGCACCAGTGTCATGCTCACCATACTCGAGCGCGCTGAAATGGCGCGAGAAGTGGCGACCCTGCTGCGCGAAACGGCGGGGGGGGCGACCGCGTAAAGGGGAACGGCGCTGGGAAGTGTCGTGAGAGAAGGAGGCGTAACCAGTACGCTGCGGCTGGGAGGAGGAGGCGGGGTGAAGACGGGCGCGCATCCGTTGATGGTCCCCGGCGGCCTTGTAAGCCTGTGGGGCCGATGTGAACTCGTACCGCCATAACTCGGAGCGGTACTCGAGCGGGAGGCTGGTCAAGAAACGATCGATAAGGCCAACCTCGGGGAGGAACGCCATGTCACAAATGAGGCGGGCGTCCTGAAAGACCTGGATGTGGCGATCCAGGTCGGCAGCGCCACCAGCGCCGGACCAACGTGTAGTGACGACACGCTCGAAGGCGTCAGTCACGTCATATCGGGCTCCGAAGCGATCCTCGAGGAACGCCTGGAAATCCATGAAGGTCGGAGTCCGACCCTCACGAAGGGAGTAAGCGTAGAAATCCTCCCGAGCGTCGGAAGGACCGCCACACAGGCGAGTGGAGAGGTGAGCCACCTACGTGTCGGGTGGAGCGCCCATGAGCTGGAGCGTGCGGGTGGCGGACTGGAGCCACCGAGACACACGTATGCCTGTACCGTCATGCTGGGCAATGTACGTCAAGCGGACGAGTGGTGCGCCACCGTTTTGGTGGCGAGGAGAACAGGGAGCGGAGGCCTGTGCTACGGCTGAATAAGTCGGCGCAGGTTCTGGAGGAGGGGGCGCAACTGACGGTACGCCCGGGCCGCATGGTGGAACGACAGGGGGAACAGCGGCAGGCGGCACGGGAGCTGCGGTGGAGGAGGTCGCAGCAACTGAGGGGATAGGGAGGAGGTAGGATGGGGATAGGTAGGGTGCAGGGCGAGGGAAGTGAGCCTGCATGGAAGGAAACGCAGAGGAAGAAGGGGGTGCGTCGGAAGGCGCGGTCACCTGTGAGGGTTGGAGTGGCTGAAGGCGTGAGAGGGCGAGGTAAGCCCGGAGTTGGGCAAATGGAAGGAAACGCAGAGGAAGAAGGGGGTGCGCCGGAAGGCGCGGCCACCTGTAAGGGTGGGGGTGGCTGAAGGCGTGAGAGGGCGAGGTTGGCCCGGAGTTGGGCAATCTCGTCCTCGAGACCTCGAACGTAGGTCGAGCGAGGTGTGGCAGGATGAGACGCATGAGCGGCGCGAGGCATCCCACAAGGGGGAGAGCCAGATGGCGCTGCGGTCGTGCGAAGGGGAGGGAGAAGCGGGGCACCCGAAAAAGATGAGACCATGGTAGCGGGTTGTGGTCCTGTGGCCATAGTGGCCGGAATCTGGGCGGATGCGCCCGTAGACTGGGGGAGGGCCTGACTCGTGGCGGCCGTCGAGCTAGGGGCGTGGACGGTCACCAAGATGGACGGGTCGGGGGCGGCAGAGGAGGAAGATCCGAGGTGGCCATCCTGTTGGAGGACGGGGGACCCGAACTGAGAGTCAGGAGATGAAGGACACGCAGTGTCTTGGAGTTGCTGCATGCTGGGGGCAAGCCAGCTAGAGCAGAGAGGGGGCTGAGATCTTGATCAGCCCCTACCCACAGTTCTGTAGATCTGTAGATCTAGGGTCTGTTGTGTGAGCAGACCCTCACCACTGTAGAGCAGCCCCTGAAACAGGGGGTCTTCAAGTCCACGGCAAGCTGCCACGTTGTTGGCGCGAATACCCTTACATGGGGATCCGCCCTCGTTCTTGCAAGTGACAGAAAATAAGGTTTGTTCAAAATTTGAGTATACCGTGCGAAGTCGCGGTTATGGTCTGTTCGCGCTGACCGATGGGTTGACTAGAAGCAAAGTGTGTGTGGGCACGCAGTTTCGAGGCGCGCGTGGTGATTTTTTTTTCTCTTGATGCAATAAAGTTGGCATGTCCGCCGACAACATTATCTGACTTTGATTGAAGCTAGGAAGAGTTTTCCCCTATTGAATTGACCATGGTGCACCCGCGTTCGTACGACATGCGCCATTGGAAGTAGATCTGCTAGGTGGCGGCACACTTGTGCTGCATGTGCGACGGTAGCAGAAGGGAAAAATTTACCCCGTCATACAACAAGGGCCGGTGCGTAGGAACCGTAGACGCAAGTGGTGGCCCCGCGCGGCATTATGGGGGCTACAAGCGTGACGTACCGCGCAAGCTCCGGGCCCTGACGGTATGTGCGCACGTACGAGGCCGTGGGTTTGATGGGAAATCAAGCAGCAGCCATAACGCTGCTCCTGTAGGCCCGGGCTAGCCACAGTTACCATTTTACAGGCTAGGTGGCGCACACCCAGTCCAGGCTTGGGCTAAGCCCTATTGGTTATAATGCCAGACTTTCACCAGGCGGATCCCGGGATCGAGGTCAGCGACGAGCAGCGGAGCGGCGGAGGAGTGATTTGGAGTGACTCGAAGGGTTGAGGGTCCCGCGGGACTATCCCCCTCGGTTTTGCTAAGGGGAGACGGCCGCGGGCCCGCAGGAAAAAAACAAGTGCCACGATCCTCTCCCGCATCCGGTCTTATCTTTTTTTTCTTTCTTTCTCTGAGTTTTAGAATTTCTTTTTTTTTTTTTTTTTTTTTTTTTTTTTTTTTTTTTTTTTTTTTTTTCCTTGTTAATTTTTTTTTTTTTTTTTTTTTTTTTAATTTTTTTTTTTTTTGGGGTTTTTTTAAAAAAATTTTTTTTTTTTTTTTTTTTTTTTTTTTTTTTTTTTTTTTGCGTTCCTATCTGTGATGAGGTCCGGTACCGGGGCTGGGACCTGCAGTAAAAACCAGCTACCTAGTTAAGTAGAGACACCACCGAACTGATGAAATGCGGACCTGTGTCCAGATCATGATAATGGGACTACCCCAGGGCAGCAGGCCCGATGAACTTGGGTCTCTGCCCAGGGTGCAGTCCTTCGGGACATCCATAGAAATTGAAACGATATAGAGAAGACTAGCATGGCCGGCTCAAGAATGAAAACGTATAAGTCAGCGTCAGACCCGACAAACGGAGGTTCCTCTGATAGCTAAATTTCTGTCGGGCCGTGCGACGACGAGGAGGCATGGTGCGAGGCGATGTGGGCCTGTTGTAGTCAGGTGATGTGTTAGAGAGAGAGCGGAGCGAGAACGTGACAAGGAAGTCTGAGTCAGGAGGAAGGAGAAGGAACCCGGACTGGTTAACACGTCGGGTACACTCGGCGTAGGCAAGGTGGAAGATGGCGGATAAGAGGTCGTGAAGCCGTCCGATTCGTGGTAAGAGCGGACGGGGGGCTAACCGAGTCGGAGGGTTTCAGCCGGGGCGAGCCCGATAGTAAGGTTAGACAAACGAAAAGGTTAGTAAAAATAGAGGTTAGTAAGAAATATAGGAACGTGGGGGTGGCTATGGTGAGGAAGTAGATGCGAGAGGAGGAGAGAATTTGGTATCCTCCCCGATTCCTTATAGAATCGGGTGAGGTAGGATTTGAATCGGGGGTTTTCGCGTTGGGCGACCCCGATTCCAAAGGCAGAATGAACAAAAAGGGGGTAGAAAGGGAGGTGGTGAGGAAGCATGCTGCGCGGAGCTATGGACGACGATGTCAGACTTTCGATCGTTTTTCGAAAGAGCTCGACGAACGAGAGCACTAAGCTAAGGTCTTGGAAGTAGACAACCACGTTGGTGGAGGCCGATTTGAAGGAAGGATACTATTCCGGATGGTGTGATGCATACAAACTGCACCCGGGTTTGAGGGTTGTTATTAAGTTGGAAGTGTAATGTATCTTCCCACCTTTCAAGGGAAGATTCATTCTCACCCTATACATCTGATAAGGCACTGTATAGAGGCCGTTTTTTATCCGTCGCTGATCCCGACGGTTGGCACTAGCCATCTTTATAAGAGTAGCTACCTCCACTAGTAGGATTCGGCCACCGGCCTGACCAGATGCCAGAGAGAGAGAGGGGGAGAGGAGAGCTACCGTATAAGAGCTGGTGGGCCGGGTGAGCCTGAACATCAAGGAGTATAGGGCCAGATTGTGAGTCAGATTGTGAGTTAGTTAGAGCAACTTTGGTGGTATGCCTGCACATGTTCAGAAGGCAAGTTCATTCGTTGGCACATGGGAGTTGTCCCCTTCCTCTTCAAGCCTTCGAAGTCCCTTTGTCCATCGAATCCATGCCTGCTGGCTTGAGTTGACGCCGTTATGAACCAATACTCACCTGCTATCGAATGGGAGTGAGTTAGGCAGGGGATCTGAGCCAGGTGTAGGAGTGGTGGCCACATGCACTGGTAAAGATAAGAGGGAGAGCACTCAGGAGACAGAGAAAGTTAGCAGAGGAGGGAAGGAGAGGTCAGACTTACCGGTGCTGCAGCCGAGCTTCTGCTACTAAGATTACCGGGCTCC